CAAATATATGTAGATGGTATATTATGTGCCGCTCAATAACATCGTCCACTTGGGCGTAGATATTGAACAGTAAAACTCCCAAATTCCAGCGCAAAAATGCTGACAGACTGACTGGACATGCTGCAAGAAAAAGCTTAATCCACAAATTTCACTTTTTCAATTGCTATTTTTCCAAAGCTCTGCTATGTTTTTTATTTTTTTTTTATTTTTCGTTTATTCATCTACTCCAACATGAACCTCTGCATTCATTTGTTCATTCAGTTACGCCATTTTTGCTTGCTACACTCTTTTATTGCACTGCACTTAATTTTCGCACACAGCTCCAACCTTTTCCGCTTTCAACCAAAAACGAAAGAAAAACAAAATCACAGCAAGAAATAGTACATACATAGCGAAATGAACGCGAAAAATGCAAGAGAATTCATCTTCAATGCCGGTGCAATAAAGCATTAGCTTCCGCAGCCACCAGCGCAGTAACTGCAGCGCACCCACGCCGCGGCGTATTTGCGGGATATACTCGTTGCAAACATACATACATATTTGCTTTCGAATGCGAATGTCAGAATAACCGGCCATTTAGCTGTTTTGTGTGTGCACAAACGCACGTGCATATAACTATATACATATGAAAATCTGTAGCTATGTTTGTTTGTATTTGAACGTTTCTAGCGGCATTCGCACACATATGTAGTACATAGTACAGACATACATACATACATATGTACACCAGCATACGCTCAGATCCGGTTTAACTCACAATTTGGCTTAAACACATATCGAAGTGTTTCGTCTACACGCCCCCGAGGACTCCCACGACCAGCAATATCCGTCCCGTTCACTGCCTTTTTTGTGCAACATTCTTGATATTGCTTTTTTCCAGCCTTCTTTTTTTGTGCTTCCCTTGACTTCTTCTTGCTCGCATCAGCATCAGCACTACGGCGACGACGACGACGACGACGCTATTCATTAGTGGCAAAAGTGGGTGTGGTTTTTGGTGGTTGCCGTTTTGCTGTTGTTTTTCTGTTTTGCCGCCAGCAGCAGCGGCACCGTTGGCGACGACGTTGTGTCTCATTCAATTGCATGCTTCATATTGCATTGACGTTATTTTTTGTTGGTTTGTTTTGTTTTTGTATGTAGTTGTATAGATATTCTTGCATTTTATAGCCGTTTGATTGTTTTTTTTTCCTTCGGTTGCTTAGCTGTGCTTTGGCATTTGCACGTTTGATTTGTTTGGTAGGTAGCTTTTGCCATTCCTTGCTGCGCCTGCCGCTAAGGCCGAAATTGGCGTTTTTCTCCTGTGGCGCCACATTGCATCGTTTCCTCTTATTTCCTTCAAGCACACACGCTCCTAAATCCTATTTCATTTTTTTCTAACTACATACATATGTACTTTAAATGAAAATGTCCTCATGTAGTGCAGATTATTCGCTTGCTTTAGCTGCTGCCACTCTACTGCCACTTCGATGGTGTTGTTGTCACACTTGTAGAAAGCGTTTGATTGAAGGCTATCTAGTTGCTGGTTCATGGCACTTTGTCTCTTTTATTTTCGGTTTGGTATTATTGGCATAAAGAAGACTTTATTGAAATCTAAGTCGTAAATGGCAAAATGTTTTTTCATAGTTTTAATTAGTTGGCAGTGCTTGGACACAAGGAGCTTATTGGACAAACGCATTGAAAAAGTTGAAACCTCAGATACTTGTTTACGCCTAAATAAAAATAAGATATTCAAACAAACTACTAGTAAACTCGTTTGTAGACCAAATACTTCGAAAGATTTTTTTGACTCAAATTCAGTTTCATCTTTGAACAGGCCAAAGGTGGTTAAAATAGTTGGAAGCAGTGTTGCCGTTGAGAATTTTTAGGAAGTCTCAAAAAGGGGTCATCGACGAAAAAAAAAATAAGCATATTATATCTAACCGAGTTCAAAAAAAGGAAGAAGTTATAAATTCGTAGGAATATATTTTGTTTATATATGTAACCGCAAAGTATGCCGATTTCTATAATTCTATAATTTCTTAAAGGAAAGTTGGTAGCTCAGAGGTGGCCCCATACTAATCTGGTTTAGATACGGTAATTGGATCATGAAGAAATTAACGGTAGTCTTAAATTTTTATATGAGAATTGAAGTCGGTTTTGTTTTTTGCACACAAAAATACAGTTGCTACAAGGAGAAGAGTTGAATTTTAAGTGATGTATTTTTTCGTACTTACAGGAGAAACTATTTTTTAATAGCATGGTTTTGTTAATATTCCCTAAAAAAATCTCTGAAAAGGGCGAAAAGTCGCCCATAATTTTGGAAAAGGGTCAAAATATCTAAATTTTCAAAAAGTTGGGTCAAAGGGTATTGGCGTTCAAAAAGGGTCGAATTGCCCCTTTAGTCGCACAACGGCAGCACTGGTTAGAAGTCTTTTGTTAGAGAATTGAAGAAGGGTAGGCAATTTAGTTTGAAAGATTTTTTTTTTATTTTGGCACAGAAGTCTTGCAAAAAAGCTTCCTTGCCCACTTTCGCAGTGAAAAGCTCTTTTTAGAGAAAGCACTTCAGCTTATAACTCGAGATGTATGGTACTTATATCACTTTGCTTGCGCTGCACCAACAACCATAGCCGAGTAAGTAAAGCACTGGCGCGGCATTCAAGAGATGCGAGGTTCGAATCTTCGGTAAGCGGATTTTTTTTATTTATTTTGACGTAGAATTCGTTTTACGTTTCGATATGGAGGTTATGCTCAAGTTGATGTTGTAATTTTTAAAGCTTTACGAAAACGCTTATTGCATGAGAACTAATGAAGCGATTTGAAAGAAAGGTAGAGCGTTTCAAAGATATAATTCCAAACCTATCGACAGATTAACTTTTGTAAATAACCAATTCGGTTTCTGTCGGTGAGGCCAATTTTAAGCCTTTAAAGTGCTCTAGCAGCTTACGATTTGCAGATTAAACTTTCACTTTCCGGATATAGGTTCTTTGGAGCAATAGAAATCGAGTATAAATTTTATAAAGGTTCCCCAAATGTTCAGCATTTTAATGCTTTCAGCATTTTGAGCAAATTAGCAAAGTTTTTTTACTTCAAACATGGTCGAAAACCGCTCAAATGATTTTGTTTTTGTTTTATTTAATTAAACATTCTGGGGACTATTTCGTGATTTTAGAGACTTTCGGAATTCTCGGGACTTAACGATATAATAATCGATATTTTATCGCTTTTTATCGATATAATAAACGATATTTTTTATCGATTTTGTTCTTGATATTTCACTCGATTTCGTATCGATTATGTAATCGTTTTTTTATAGATGTTGTGATCGATTTTGTTATCGATATTTTTATCGATTTTCTTATCGATTTTGCTATCGATATTATTAACGATTTTATTATCAATATTTTTATCGATTTTGCTATCGATGTTTATATCGGTTTTGTTATCGGTTTTGCTAACGATATTATTATCGTTTTTGCTATCGATATTTTTTCTTAGTATGTGCTTTTGTTTTTGACTTGGATGTGCTCTTAACCATACCACGTATTCTACATTTAAATTTAGCGGCTGTGTCTCCGATACATCCTGCGAACCAAGACGAAGGCACTGGACTGTTCCTTTTTTATTTAGTTTATGCATCTTTGTTTAATTTTATCTTATCTTATTGTATATATTTTTTGACTTAAAAATAAAAATTTATTTTTTAAATTGATTATTTTCAAGTTAGTTTTATTTTAATTTTTAGATTGTATTTTTTGAAAAATTATTGGGGAATCCACAATGAATTAAAGTTTTTGAAAATACAAAGGCAACTGCAGAGACAAAATCTGTTAAACATTTGGAAAAATAATAAATAAATGTTTTAAGAAAATATAAAAAGGTAAAATTCCTGCGAAATACGATTGACGATGCCAGGAAAGGACATAGCGTTGCAACGTTTACCACAGCTGTCATATAAAGGAGCGAACAATCCGCATAAAAGCGGCATTCTTTAATATCTGATTTTCGCCCCTTATCCGAAGAGGAGACCGACCGGAGGCCGTCCAAAGAGCTTTCGTATGAGCGCTTTTGGTGCACTTCAAGCGTTAATTTGTCATCATGTTAAAAACTTATAAGGTTGGGTTAGGTTGGGCGGCAGTTCCATGTAGACTAACTAAGACTGGGGGTCCGCATTTATCACCGTTTCCCTACCGTTTCGTGCCCAGCAAAAAAGCACATAAGCTTATTACATGCATGACTTTGGTTCATCAAGGTCATCGAAGCTATAACTGCAATGAGATAGAACCGGCAGGGTATACGTGGAATTGTTTCTTCTCCGTCTTCGTGCATGCAGCTTCTGCTGTAGTCGTTCTAGGGTGCACCAAATCAGGCAATGTACAGAGTTCTATGATGCGCGAGTTCGTCAGCTTTATAATTTCCCTAAATGTGACAATGGCTAGCTATTCAGACAATGTGTGTGCGTAATACCTCGGCCATCGCGTTAAGAGATCGGCGGTATTGAGTAACTACTTTTGACGTCAGCGGCATATTGCCTATTGATATAATAGCAGCCGGGCTGTAGGTGAAAACGTAGATATAAAGACTAGAAATTGTATTACACTTTGAGATACCTATCAATTCCGACTGAAAAACATCGCAGTAGTCACGCAAGCGGAATGAATGATAAACCTAATTTTTGAGAAAAAAATCCCACGCCAATTTTTTCGAGTTTGGACCCATGCGTTGAACATGGATTGATTCTCTTTCCCTGTTATGTTATGTTAATTTTTCGACCCATAAAATTAAAATGAAAGTCAGATTCTGATTTTATGAAAAAAATCCTAAGAGAATTGTTAATTATTAGAATTAAATATGTTGAGTCGTGTAGCCGATTGCGTCTAATTTCGGAGTATTTTTGAGGTAAAATCAAGTTTTACGACGACCATTGGTGAAGAAACTCAAGTTGTTGGAAATGAATAGAGCTGTGTGATCAATAAATGCAATACACTAATACATATGTATATAGTAAAATTAAAATATTCCCTTACCATGCCACGCAAAGCAAAACAAGAATATCAGTATAGTAGAAAGATTTTTCCAGCTGCCAAAGTGCGACGTTGTGCCCATTGTTGTTCTCGTTGACGCCTTCGCTCCAGCTGCTGTTGCAAGTGTTAGCAAATTGCCCTTCCCCTCGTTACTATTTCTAATCACTGCGGAATGTTTACAATCTTTTGACGCACTTTCACTTGCCACAAAATTGTCTTTACAGTCGACTGCACATGTGTGGCTATTGTTATTATTGTTTTTGTTAAGACTGTCAGTGTATGGTTGGCAATAATGTGTTGGCGTGGCACGTACGTTGGTACACGCTACCGCAGCGCCGCCAAGAGCGGGAATGTAATCAACATCTTTGCCACAACGTTCCATATTGCTGGCTACACATTTGCAACACCCACTGTCATCAGTCATTGCTGTTGGGATTGTGGCAGCTGCCAAGTTGCAAGCTACTGTCGCTACTGCTGGTGCTTTAGCTAGTGTTTTTGTTGTTGCTGTTATGTGTGGGGTAAGTTTTGTGTTGCTGGTGTTGTTGTTGCTGTTACTGTACTTGTTGTTGTTGTTGTTGTTGTTGCCGTAGTGTGGTGACGCGCAAATGCACTTAACTTCCGCATTTGGTGTAATTTGCATTTTGTACTCAAATTGCTTCTGCTTTTGTTGTTGTTGCTGTTGTTGTTGTCGTTCTTGCTGCTGCTGCTGCTGCTGCTGTGAGTCTTTCGCGAGTAGTTGCGCGTACATCAGCGCAAAATCACGACACTTTGTGACAACTTTGTTGTTGCAGCTGGTGGTGGTGCTGCTGCTGCTGCTGCTGCTGTTGGCACTGTTGCGCTCGCTATAATTGCTTGCGTTGCTGTTTTTGTTGTTGTTCACGGTAGTAGTAGTGGTAGTAGTAGTAGTAGTGTGGCTGCTGTTTGCGTCCGCGAAGCTACTTGTCGTTTTAAATTGCATAATGCAAGTGATGCCCACTTGACATTAATTAAGTGCGAAGAACACGGCAGGCAGACAGATAGACAGACACACAAACGCACGCACTGCCAGCAAGGGAGATCATCAGGCTACAGCACACGCGTCAAAAGTTGCCTGAACCGCAGGCTTGCAATTTCGCTCGTTTGGATGTGTATGCGTGCACAATTTCACAATTTTTGCACTAGACAGACTAAATGTCACCAGCGGCGTTGACACTTTGTCACTTTTCACAATTTTATTTAATTTTTATAATTCCCCCGTTTTTGTTTTTTTTTTGTCGCTTTTCACATCACTAGCTTATGAATGCATGTATGTATGTATGTACATTGTTGTAAATTGTACAAAAATCACGGAAAAGTGTTTGTCACCAGTTAATAGGTTAATAGGGAATGTTGCACAGTTTTTTCAATACATATTTTTTTACTTATTTTTCAATTTTAAATGATTTTAAACCTAAAAAAATTTGACCGAAATTGTTTAATTTATTTAGGACCGTTATGTATAATTTTGCATAAATTTCTATTCACTTTGCTCACCCTGTATGTACATATAACATATGTTTTCTCTATACTCGCGCGAAAATTTTTCACTTTTCGTAAATTTTTCTTCAGCCCTCAAACAAAAGATTCTTTTAATTTGCGCTCTTCCGCTAACACAAACGCGCTCCGGAACCGTCAAACGAACGACTAACCGCACGAGCAGGCACGAACACCAATTTACCGCAAGTCAGCCATGCATCCAACACCACGTATGGATCTTTGCTTTGAGTCTCTGGCTATTGCTTGTCGCGCCCTCAAAATGTTGCCACTTCGCTGCCTCCAGCCAGCCTCATTGCCTAACCACCCACATGCGTTCGCTTGCTTCGTTGGATGGTTTTCCTGTCTGTTGCTTGCGACTTTCACTTCGCTTGGCACGACGCCGCGTCGTCGTTGCTGGTTGCTTTATTGCTGCCAATGCCTAGCAACATGTTGTCAAGCAACTACCCATGTTGCGCTGGAAGGGATTTCAATTTCAATGTTGAGTTGTTTGTACATACCAAGTATGTATGTATGTATGTATGATTGTGTGCCTGTGTGTGTGTCGAACTTCCAGTGCGGTAATTTCAGTTGTTGAGCTGATTTCCTGCAAACAGTGTGTTATTGTTGCAGTTTTTTGATTTCGCTTTCACTTTTAGCAGGTTTATATGTATTTGTCGTTGGCGTTGTTTACGCTTTGTTTACAGTTTTATTGATAATTGGCGGCTACACGTGCAGATATTTTTGCTCTCGTTTAATTGCATCAATGTAAAGTTGGTATTTTCATTTTATTTATGCTGCTGTTTGCCTTTTGTTGTTTTCTAGTTTTCATATAAATTCTGAAAAAGATAATAAAATTAATTATTACAAAACGTTTATGCTTGTAAATAGCTCAGGTAGCTCTAAGCTATTGCCAAATTAAAGTGTAACTTTTCTAGCAGCGGTAGGGAATTGAAAAATGTAAATATAGATAAGGAGACAAAGATATATATAAAACTGAAGATTAAGATATTTCATATCATATTATGTTTCTCGACTTACTTCAGCTCAGCTCAACTCAACTCAACTTGTATGTATGTGTGATTCAGGGATAAAAAAAGGCACAATTGTACCTTTTTCCGACGTTTAATTACTTAAAGGTACATTAGGTACAGTCACTAGATTTTAGGTAGATAAATACAATCATCTTTTGATCAGATAAATTTTTATTTTTTTTTGTTCCTTTACGCTTCGAATATATCTACTTGTAAGCACGGGAGAAGCTTCGCTTTCATAAGGAAAAAACAAAACCGACTTCAATTCTCATATAAAAATTTAAAATTATCGTTAATTTCTTCACGATCCAATTATCGGATCTAACCAAATTAGTACCCATGAAGTACCATCTTTCCGATGAAAAAAGAATTATCGAAATCGGTTAACACCGCCGCTAAATTTAAACGTAGAATACGTGGTATGGTTAACAGCACATCCAAGTCACAAAACGAAAGCACACACTAAGAAAAAATATCGATAACAAAGTCGATGAAAATATCGATAGCAATCGATATCGACAACAAAATCGATGTCAAAGTCGATTACAATACCTATACAAAAATCGGTTAAAATATCGATAACAAAACCGACAAAAATATCGTTTATTATATTAAGTTCCGAAAACATCCATAGCAAAATCAATAGCTATATCGATAACAATTTCGATAACAAAAACGATAAAAAGTATTGATAACACAACCGATAAAATATCGATTATTGTATCGATAAGTCCCGAGAATTCTGCGAATCATGTTTAAAGTACAGCCATCATGTTTACAAATGTTTTAAATAAAATTAATAAAAAAAACAACTAAAAATTAATGATGTAACTTTGTTAAGGTACAATCTGTCTCATTTAGGTACATTTATTTTATGATATTAGGTACAAACTGAAATTTCCATTTTTCATACCTGGTGTGGATGTATGTAATTTGCGTTGCTTGCTGCGTGAAGTTGGTAGGTCTTCTTTGGCCCACCCTGTATATACGGGCCACAAAATTATTCTTGGTGCAATTTACATAAATGTTTCGACTAATATTAATAATAATAATGTATTTTAACGTCGAATCAGATCGAGGTAGTAAATATGAGTACATACAGGTGCGTTTTTCCATTACAAACCATGCTCAGTTCTAATCGGTTTTTCACTGATTATTTTTAATCCTTTTTACAATGAAAAGAGGTATTTCAGTGCACTTCCTTGAAGTATCCTCTTAAATAATTGAACAAACCAAATAAACAAACACAATAGAGCTATCATTTGGAAAAAGGGCACCCCTCATTTGGATGGAAGCATTTATAATATAAAAGTAAGAGCTGCAACACAAAAAAAAAGAAACAACAACAATCATCAATCGTCTATCAAGTAGATTCAGTGTGCACCCTTTTTTGTAGCATTCAACGCACTTCCTGCTCATTTAAGAACAATCAATGTATGAAAACATTAATGATGCATTTTGCATGCTTGTTTGCCACATTGTGGCAACTAACAACTCATCAACTCACAGGATTGCAGCCTGTTGCAAGCCAGCCGCTTATGCGAGTATTGTGGCAAAAGATGAGGAAAAATCAAATAAGCAAATAAACAAGCCAACGATTAAAGCGTAAACAAAAGGCAATCAAATTGAAGTGGATGTTGGCGCAGATGAGAACAGGCTGTTGAGAGTGTGTAGGGAAGAAAGCAGCAAAGCAGCAAAACAGCAAAAAGGCAAATACATATGATTGTGTGCTAGAAATGTTTACATGAGCATAAATATAGTTAAAATTGTATGTGTGCATATAAAAATATGTATGTATGTACGAGTATGTATTTATATCTTTTACGTACATAAATACGCAGCAGCGAAGTCGCACCGCATGCAAACATGCGCCACAACAAGTGTGCGTGCGAGAAGAAGAGTAAGTAGCAAGAATGCAGCAGCAATTCAGCCGGCCATAACACATGCGGCCAAATGGCGAACAACGACAATAGCAACAATTTTTTATATCATTGCACAAAAGTCTTTTAAATTACAAACAACTGTTTATTGAAAAAACTGCGCGGTGATTCTTTTATTTGCAAATATATAAATAAGCTTTTGAAATGTCAAAATGCTTTCCATGGCATAAGTGAAAATACAATGCGAGATTTGAAGGTCCAAAAAGCATCGAAAAATTCTCCGAGCTTTGAAAACTAAAATTGATATCTATATATTCGTATATCTGGATATCTGTCCGGAAATTTGTGTATACGGATAAAGTCCGGATATCCGACTAATATCCATTATCTTTCCTTATTCGGATATCCGGTTAATATCTGTTAATTTTGCCATCCGGATATCCGGTTAATATTCGATAATTTTGTCATATATAGGTCACGCAGATAGAAGTGAGACCTAATAATAACATGAATAATACATTATATTTAGGTTATTACAACTTGGAGGTATGAAGGTATACAGCGACAAGGGTTAATTACCTGACAAAACTATGAAAAAAGGTGGAAGAGTGGATAATCGCCAGCGACTACACCTCTACTGTGGAGGGAGATATCCACAGTGGTTTAAGTAATAATGCCACTAGCAGAGGTCAAAGCCCTAGAATACTCGGACCAGTAAAGCGCGGTTAGCCTGGGCACCAACGCTCTTCGGCTAAATCGGAGAATGCTCTTTATGAACGGAGGAGGAGACCGAGGACAAGGACAAGAAAGGAGGGATTGAAGGTTAACACACGATATACGACTGCGGTCAAGATCTGTGACCGACTTGGTGACAAGCCCAAATGTACGGATGAGGAGGAGGAGGAGAAAAGATTGATTTGGCCTAGGGAGGTGGTGAAGAATGGCCAACCTTACTTCGCCGCTAAAACAAAATTCTCAGCTACGAAAAGGCTACGAAGCCAAACGTCTAACTCTCCCCCTCAACACCCAAAGCGACATCGGTTCTTGGCGCCCATCGACCGCAGTATTCCGCTTGGATATATTACGCATTAAAGGTGGAAAGAAGTGGAAATGAAGTTGTTAGAATCTCTATTCGCAACCGTTGAAGCTGCTAGAAAAAGTTTTTTTTTAAGTAAATGCAAACATCGATGTAATGAAAGGGCCACCCACTCTTTGGGCTCTAGTTCCAGAATTTTAGGAACAGCTGATTCACGTTGTTTTTGTTTTTGTCACTTCAATGCAACAGCTTGGAAATTGATTTTTTTTTTTTTTAAATTTGATTTTAAGTGTATAAAAATAGAGAATACATCAACAGGCCATTCACTATTCCAAGTAAATGCAGGCAACATGTAAACACAAAACAGCTGATATGCACTTTGACATTTTATCCATTCTCACCCGGAGAAAAAGTCCAAGGGCGACCCAGATTGAGATTGAATGGTGAAATAGAAGAAGACTTGTCAGAATGAGTACCAAATACTGGGAGAACAAAGCAAGTGACAGCCAAGCATGTAGGTGCATAAATCGCCTTGCGCCAAACGATGATGATGGCATTGTGAATAAATTTTATAACTTGCTTTTTCTTATCAGTATACTCAGTATTATCAGAAATACCCACAAAATTAGCTTATAATATCGACATACATAACTACTCGTAAATAAATAGAAAATATAATGTGGCCAGTACCTTCATTGATGAGCTAACAAACGGCAAGTAAAACTTGCCAAACTTCTTCGCTACTAATTCGAGTTTATTTAACCTAATTGGAAATAAATTGGTGCTTCAACCCACAAAGAGAATATCACCTTTCAAGTTAAGCGAAAATATTCGTTTCTCGTAATTACCAGTTTAATATAAACAAAATACTTTAAGGTACTTTTGAGACAGCTTCTTGGAATTTATTTTTATTCTAAGTGCATTTTCAATACTACAAGAGTTTTCAATAAAATCCCCCTCCCTCAATGGGCATGGTAATTTG